ACATAACTGATTATAAACTTATTATTACACATAACGTTGATATTAGGAGAAAGTCACCGATATTGACATAGATCTTTTAAAGTAACATCCCCTTATTTCTCAGAAACTAACCTTTGCACTTTATTTAATACTAATAAAAACGTAATTTATTTAGCTAATTAAAGAAATACAAACTCATAAATTATTTTATATATTAATTTATATATTTGTGGCTTATTTCTCTATACCAAATCAGTTAAAAACAAATTCTACGAATCTGAGAAGAAAATTTTGCGATATTCTTTTGCAAATTGCGTAATTTAAATAATAATGACTGTATTATTGATAATATTATGTCATTTTAAATGCTTATAGTTTCATGAATTAGTTTTCTTTATAGAATAGGATATATCTTTATCCTATAGAATAGGAATACCGGCATTACTGTCTACTATGTCAGTTTTGGAATCTATTTTATCAGACCCTCATTTTTTTTTGCTTCTCTTAAGGAAAACTTAATTATTGTAAAATTGCAAACAGTATTATAAAAACTGCTTGTACTATCTGATAGAAGACACTTTTTAGTTTGTACTTATGTTTTTAAAATTGTATTTTTACTCTTAATTTAAGAAATATTGTCTAAAAACAAAGTGATATATGTCGGTATCGGTGACTTTCCTCTACTTTATCATAAGCTTTGTCATAAGCATAAAACATCTCCATAAATTGACGCGTAAATATTTTATTATATATCTATATTATATATCTATAACAAAAAATAAATTAGAAAACAATTTTGTTGAAAATAATATGTATTTTTATAATAATTTTTTATCGTTTTTTCTATAAAACAACAGATGGAGGGTGTTTTATATTTATGGACAATGTTGTATATATTAATATGTATAATTTTCTCTGCAATATATTTCGTCTTGTCAATCAGTGGATTTTAATTTACTTTTTGTTTGCGGAGATGAAATATATGAGAGAGAGAAAGAGAGAGAGAGAGAGAGAGAGAGAGAGAGAGAGAGAGAGAATAGATTTTCTTGATATATGTATACACATATATATCTCTCAAGAAAATCTATTCTATATTGTTATAATATCTAATATGCTGTTATAACAATGCAGGTATTTACAACTAAAATTCAAATTAATTAACCAATTCTTATGCAAGCGTTTAACAAATTTATCAAAGAAAAAAATAAAATTCAGCGTTTTTGAATCGGCGGAAGAGTATCCTAAAATTGTAAATACTAAAAAACGGAAATATATTCTTTCCATGAAAATGATATTTCGATGGCGACGAAAGATGCAGCCTCGAATAAATGTTGCTGTGCTAAAGAAACAAAATCAGGTTATATCTCAAATTGAATCCCACTTTCCATCCCAGTTAAAAAAGGAATTACAAAATGAACTTCAAAATCAATCTCGAAAGCATTATCCTGTAAAGACAAAATATCAGGAACATCTATTACAGACACTCAAGTGAGTACTAAAAATTATGAATCGAACTGTATAGAATTAAATTCTTTAAAACATATATTTTAAATAAAGATTGCATTTAGTTTTACAGTACTTTTCCAAAGTAAAAATTCAACTTAAAATCCATTAATTTTATCATTAAGATATTTAAAATTTGTAATTTTATTCATACTTACATAAAAAATATTTACAAACTTTTTATATATTCTTTTAAAAACAAAACAAATTTTTTTAAACATTTTTTATTATCTTTAAGTATTTTTAAGACAGGTACACCTAGAATTGTGTAAAGTTTCAAAAATAATATGTACTATTTTTGGAGTACAAGTAGTTTGGGAGATAGGAGTAATGATCATAGTCCTTACAGTAGCTCTCTATAATTTGTACGTCCGATTCGTTATACAGCAACACAAAGTCAAAAGTTGTACAGATCAAACAATTTTAGCATTGCTAATGTGTTTTCTGTGCATTCTAAAAGCTGTTCCTTTAAGTCGCATTTGCAAGTACGCGGCCGTTGAGGTAATTTATCTCGTTCATTGTCTATAATTCTAGATTTTATAATTAAACTATTTATAGGGAAATAAAACCATGGAAATCATTCATGCGATTAATGGATATTATGCAAATTCTGATATGCAAGAGGAGGTTCGTTGTTCTTATATAAATATACACGTATAATTGATTGCAATTATATACATGTTTATGTGTTATGTAATTATTGTCTTTTATTGTTCCAGATTCAACAGTTTGGTATTCAAATTTTACAAAGTCCGGTGACATTTTCAATGTTTGGTCTTATTCTGGATTATCGTATTTTAACCATGGTTTGTATCAAATTGTTGCTTATAAAATGATGCTATTATATCAGCGATTTTTAAATAAAATTGCAAAATTAAATTATGTAATTAAAAATGTATGTAACCACAAAAAAATTCAATAATATTTTTTCACATTTAAAAAATATACCTACTAGTTTATTTATAAATTTATCTATTATATCACATTGTGTGCATTATATTCATACTTTTCATACTTACAGATTTTAGGAACTGTTACGACCAATTTGGTTATCATGATACAAGTGAGCAACACGATGGGCAATGCTGTACAAAATGCACATTTATAAGACTTATAAATTAATGATTATTTTTAAAAAGTTTTAAAGGAATCTTAAAGTCGACTGTATTATTGATTAAACGCAATATTTTATAAATAACATATACACAATTATATTTTTTTCTTCTAGATAGGTTCAAAATCTCTTCCATTATTAAAGTATACGCATTTATACGTATGTCTGTGAGGTGGCGTTTATGCTGAAAATGAGAAAAATTATTTAGATTAAAATCTTTTTTTATATTTCTTAATTCAATATGAATTGTCAATATCGTACCAACATGTATAAAAGTTTTGCAATCTGTACTTACGAAATTGTAGTCCACAGACTAGCAGTTTACACAAATACTTTGTTCTTAGAATTAGACTTAGGGCCACACTTTCACCAAGCTCTGATTAATTTAACCGTTTAATTAATTATTTTTTTATTTATATATGATAGAACAATAGATGGCTATTGTTCTACGAAAATTTATGTACATGCGTGCGTGCGATATTAATGTAATAGTAAATAGTATATAAAAATATGTCGATGAGTCGTATTTTATCGATCAGTGACATCATATAATTCTACAAATAAATATCGCAAAGTATCATAGAAATAAAAGTTATTCTCTCTAAATTCTTTGGAGTGAGACCAAAAGTAGCAATATTTTCATCTTTTTGGAGTATAAAGATTAACTCCAAAAAATTTAGAAAGTATGTAAAATAAAGTAGTTTTCTGTAAAATAGTCATAGTAGTAAACATTTTAATAAATTCTTTACTTTTCCCCTTTAAATTTTAGAATAAAATTTTACTCGTAATTTATCAAACAAGACTTTCTCTTTAATCTCTGTATAAATTTTACAAATAAAACTTTTACAAAAGTATAAAAATGATTAATGTTACATTAATATATACGTATGATGTTATAATATAATGATATTTAATATCGAAATGTTATAAATTTTTGATAAATTAATTTAATAAATTTACATAATAATACAATAATAATGGAGAGTATAAATATATATTTTTCGATTTGACTTTTTCAACTTAGAAAAGAAGTTATATATAAATTTCAAAGACGTCGAAGATGTTTGTAACTATATATTTAATAGATGTATGCCTCAGTTATTTTAAATATTCTTTGTTTTATCTTTATATTTGCTACTCATTTCTTTTTATTATGGCAGTTCTGCATGTGATGTGCAAGATCTATATATCGGAGTGTACGACTTTTCAAATGTAGAGTTCTTTGCAATGTGCACGATAGTTGCTTGTAATTATTTAAATAATATATTATGAAATAGAATTTTTGCATCAACACATTAAAAATATAAAAAAATGTTGATAATTAATAATTTACAGAATAATTTTATCCAATATGACAATCGATTAAAATTTTTTTATTACATATTAATCTTCTTTCACAAATGTTAGTAACATAAAGTTGCATTTTTAATCCTCATATTATCTTTAATAAGGTAGCTCTTAGCTTGATACTTTGCACGATATCGATTTTCTTGATGAAGTCTCCTGGGTATTTATCCATTATGAGATCACGGACACCCGATGTATTTGTTGCTTATTTCACACTACTTGCCTTGTCATCGTTTAAATTTATCATTATTTCTATTGCATAATGTTGCCGACGTTCCGTCTATAACAGCAATTTTATTATGCTCATTCGGCATTCTACAATTTAATATCATTTAGTGCTTGCAATAATTTGTAAAAAATTGGCTCAAAACGACAATACTACAAACGACGATAATACAAAAACATTTTAATCAAAATATTAAATTTTGGTTTCAATTTTTTTCCAGTTTCGTTGAAAAAACTATTCTCAACTTAAAAAAAATAGTAAAATCAATAGAAAGGAATTTGATATTACATCGTGCTGACTCTTCAAGAATTAAAAGTACAATAGCAATTGTTCAAAATTTTTATCGCAACCTTCTCATAATCCATTCACAGAAACATTATTTAACATTTCGGTGATTTATAAGCCAGCGTAATTTCAGAAATTTTGAAATTTTACAGCGTATTTGCTGTGGAAATAAAAAAAAAACGCAGACGACTATTTATGCAATACGCTTGCGAGTCAATATTGATTATAAGATGAGTGAATGAATCCTTTGGGACATACGGACATTGCGAGACATCGCGAACATTACATGGTTTACTTGGATTGTGCGTTCACCACTTCACCTCCGCCGCCACCTATTCGCGACTACCTTCGGCTTCCCACTTTTGTCGGGGGTGACATTTAGTTTATTACGTTGTCCGCATGTGTGCGAACACGCGAGGTGATATAGTTACGATACTTGTTCATTTTTCGATTGGATTTCGAGGTGCACATACGTTTGTAGTCGACGGCGAAGATCTCGTCGTTCGTCATTATCGAGACCAGCAGGTGTTTTTGACATCCACGAAGATGTTTGAACCGAAGACCATACAGGAAGTGGTCACGCCGACGATGATGATGAATACCTTTGTCGGCATGGGAACTTGGTCTACCAAGAAGGGCAAATTTTTAAACATTACATACTCGTTGATCTGTCTGGTGATGTATTGCATCGTGATGAAGATGTCGATAAAATACTTGGGATCTTATTATGTGCACAAAACAAAATCACTCGGAGATTATACATTTCAAGGTATTTTCTACGCCAACATCTGTCTGACGATCTGCCTCATCCCTTGTGGCTGGTTCAGGAGAAAGGTAATTTAATTTAAAATGATGTAGAGATTGACATTATCATGCTGTTAGAATTTTGAAATTTAAAATCTAACTAAGTAAAAAGATTAATTTTTATATGGTATATCAATATAAATTCTTTATTCAATTCTCAAAACGGATTCTTGATCTACTAAACGTATATTCGTGCGATTTGGAGCATCATTGTTATTTTTCAACATTTGCAGTACATGAAAGCAGCAATGATGCGCATAGTGATGTGCGAGAAATCTTTGGAACAAATCGGATTAGACAAGAACTATCGGAAATTGTATCGGAATCAGATTTATACTCTCGTACTCGTCATTGTAGTATTCATCGTATTCACAGTGGCTAATTATAAAGAGATGTTCATGGAGAATACACCTATGCTTATGAAAGTTGTCATTATGTTTGCCTATAATTATCCCGTTGGTTTGCTCTACGTGAATGACATATCGTTCTTACACTGGGTCAGGTAAAGTGTAATCTCGCATAAGTACAAACGAATTAATCCCACCTACGAATGCAACTGCTTTGAGAGATTCGCAATAATTTTATATTTCTTTTACTTAATTAGATGTAAAAATTTTTGTACATTCTGCGACTTCAGTACTTTCTAAATTTCAGTACTTTAAAAGAGTGAGATTTTGCTCTAAGAAATTTAGAAAGTACAATTATTGAAAATTATATATTTGTAAATAATCGTTACTGGCTTCCTCTCTCTTGCTTCTGCCGTGAACGCTTGAAGATACTCGAAGACTCGGTTCACTCAACTGAACAATCTGCTGAAACGTATGTTAACGACTACGCCAGATTCGCCGCAGCACAAAAGAGTACTGAAAATGAAGGATGATTGGGACAAGGCCATCGCATCCTCGCTGGACGAATCTAAGGATAAGGATAATATCAACACGATGAGAGCCGTCAAGTGAGATTTTTACTACACACGCATAAACAATTTTTTTTCTAATTTTGCACATCAAGATCACCTTGCATAGTACATTAGTACTACGTGCATTTTGTGTACGTGTATATCTACAATTACGCTACTTAGAATTTGCAGGATAACGAGTCATTTATGACTAATGGTTAATGTCAATTTTATCTTGATCTGTTGCATATTTTCGAAGAATATATGATAATTAACACATTCACAACTCACGACCGATGACGTGTACCACAAATGTATTTTCACAAATTAATATATTTAACCTGATAGTCTAATAGAATAATGCTTATTTGTATATTAATTTGTTATTTTATTATTGTTAATTTTTTTTTTCTGTAAAATCTGTATAATAAATTATTAAGTAACTCAAAATTAAAAATTATATTATATTAATGTTCTAATATAATACTAAGAAATGAGAATTTCTTATTTTATTATTTACCCTTTTTGTTAATTGAATTCTGCAATTTAATTTATACAATTTTGACTGTATTATCTATGTATTAAAATATTATTTAAATAAATTATTTAAAAACAATTTTTTTTTGTAATATAAATGTTAACAAATGTTCTTTAATTCCTTAGTTTATCTTATTTTTGTATACACACAAATTATTTTTATTAACATTGAAATTAAAATGTCCAATTCTCAGTTGTATTATTTCAGTGCATTTCTATTTAAAAATAATTTTTATAAAAATATGTGAGTTTTTTATAAAAATTTTTTAAGTAAATATTTGATGTGTTCACAAAAACGTAATATCCATCTCTCAACGTATTTTTCTCATGTAATTTTATTTATCAATAAATCTTAACGTAAATAAAATCAATCCTTATTTTGAATGTAATTTGATGAATATCTAATTGAAATTAATGAAATGTAGAATTAAAATTTAGTGAGAGAAGAAATTTTTAAGGTATAATTCTAAAATTTTATTCCTGAAAATGATAAAATTAAATATAACAAATTTATCCATAATTGATTTAGTTTTTTAGTACCTTGTATAATAGCAGAATATATTTTAATGTTCACATATACTTTTTCGAAACGATTTGATTGATAATGTTCTCTTCTTTGCTGTGTAAAGGCAAGTTCATTTGGAACTAATCAAGTCTAGCAGAAGTGCAAATGATGCGTTTGGCATGCAGATTCTCTTTTCTATGACGGTGTCGTTTGTATTCATCACTAGTCTCTTATACTACGCTTACAAGATTTTCTGGAACGAGTTGGGTCCTAACGAAAATTGGGAAAGTAGGAAGAGGGAAGTAATACCAGTCCTTAGCTGGATTCTGTTTTACTCATCAAAGATCCTCATCGTAAATCATTTGTGCGCAATGACGAGCGTTGAGGTAAACAAAATTTTTATACGCTTTTTCACTTTTTCTTGTTTGTGTATTTTGAAGAGAGAATTAGTAAAAACATAAGTTCTTTCAAATATCATCGCTTTTTTGAATACTGAAAAAACAATTCGGCTTTCTCTCTTTCGCGTTTAATTGGTAACAATCGCGATATACAATATACGTGTAAATACCTATATTGATGCATGAACTTTCGCAGGCTGCGAACACAGGTGACATAATCTGCGAGTTGTACGAGCCAACGGCCAGCAAAGAATTACGCGCGGAGGCAAGTCTATTACCTTATCTTAATGAAATAACGAGCAACAGCAATTAATATCCAAATTTGTTACAGATACGGGATTTCACTCTGCAACTGATACAGAATCCGTTGACATTCACGGCGTGTGGATTCTTTAATCTGGATCATACATTCATTCATGGAGTAAGTATTTAATTTCATAAAGCGAAAAATTAAATTTCAGATATTTACAGTGATATAAGTTTCTTAAAATTTATTAAAAATAAAGATCCTATTGTAAAAATATAAATTCTTGGGTAATCGCTCGCGCACTGGTATGCGTATTAATATGTGTGAGCTATGCTTTATTTCCACCATATAATAATGCCATTCTCTTTATTACTTTACTTACGATTAATCTGAGACTTTGTCTTGTAACTTTTCTCCTGTAATTAAGAATTAATCGTTGAAAGTTACAAAGTTTCTTATGTTAATACCAGAACACAATGTGAAACTAAGTACCTATATACAAAATACATATTTCATGCTTCACTTCAAAATAAGAAATTCTGAACAGTAGAGATGGAGTCTTTAATACTTCTGACAATTATTTTGTAATTTTGATCAATTAGTTTTATTTGTTTGAAAAAAGAAAATAAAATTTGATTCCGAGAGAAAATACAGTAATAAATGTGCAATAAATGTACACTACACAAAAAAGTTGTGACAAAAAGTCACAAAATTTGAAAAATAGTAATTATTAATTGTTTCATTTTTTAATAATTTATTTAAAGATAGGAGTTGTCCACATCCACCCAATTATGGATTAAATTGAAGATGAAATAAGATTTAAAAAAATATATAAAATCTCTCTCTCAGATAAGATATATAGAATCAAACTATCGAATTTTTTCTTCTCAGGTGATTGGCTCGGTTACTACGTATCTCGTGATTCTTATCCAAGTTGGAGATTTACCCACAGGAAACCCGAATAAACCACCAAATACTACTATAAGATTCATCGAGTCGAACTTTACTATGACCGATGCATTTACAACCGTTACTTCTCCGTAAAAGCAAGTTTCGCACATTTTTTTATTTCTCATTGTTCCATATAGATTTAAGAAATTGAAGATTTGATGAAATATGTGTGTGACCGTTTTTGTGCATATATATATATATGTATATACTTTGCGTCACGTAATACAACAACGAAGAAAGTCAATTATTTCTTTTTATTAGGTGTTGAAACTTTCATGCACGAAAGTAATATATTTTAGCAAATTAAATTATTATTTATTATATAATATACATAATAAAGTGTTATTCTATATCTTTTTCTATAAATATGATATCGACTTTTTTTCCAGAAGAGAACAGTAAAGCACAAGCAGAATAATCGTGAGATAAAAATCATTTTCTATAGAATTAAATTTATTTTATATCTAAATGCACTTATTTTATAGTCTCTAATGATTTCCCAAATTTACATTTCTATCTTCGCGATTGTAGACGAAGGGGGAACGCTGCAAGGTGTTTAATTGTCCGATCAGTTAACGAGGATCCGATGAGATCGGATTCTATCCGACGATTTTCCGCCAATTAGAACGCCGACGGGGTTATTGTGTCAATTACACTACCCTAAGTGCACTTATCCTCCTTGGCTGCTATCCAGATGGAGGTGTTAGCCCGTGAAATTCGGTCCTGCCGTAATTCAATAGCTCCTATAACTCGGGCACAGCTTCCTATCCCCGATCAATTATATCGATTATACGTGCGAATCGCAAAAGTGAAACTTTCGTAAGACTTTTTCTTTTCTCTTATAAATTCTTTCAAAACTTAATTAACGATATCAATTTTATACATTTTATGTTAAATAGTACATATGCTACTTTTTTTATTTGATATTCCTTCGATATGTGCATGCCAGTGTTATTAATGTTAATGTTTTTCTTCTACAATTTGTTTATATATCCTTTCTTTGTATTTGTCGAAATATGACATATAGATACCATAAATTAATCACTGAATAATCTTATTTCTGAAAAGCAAGAATTCGGGCAATTTTAGAATTATAAGACATTGTAGAAAATATTTCGATATATTATAGAACTATGCTTTACTTTAATGCACCCGACGATGTTCCGTTGGCGCATTCGATGCATAATCCGCGAGGAAACATGTTCGAACGTACGGTTCGGAGACCAAGGGGGATGTACAGGACGTACGTTTACATCGAGGATAACATTAATTGGGAATTAAGGACGCGAACGCCGGTGGCCGTCAGGAGCCACCTGCTACTATACTAGTACTCCTCGTCGAGCCAAGGGGATTGATTTATTGTACCCGGGGGAGAAAGAGGGTTTGCCGACCGTTTCGAAGCGAATCTAACCAATGTCGTTGTACCCTCCCGTTAAATAAAATTCTTAAGAGGCATCACGGATGCATTATCAACGATATTGTTTTTTACAGTCGTCTTTTTTCCCGCAAGTGATCGAAAAAAAATTTTTTGTTTGTTACACACAATCACGTTTTACACGATTTGATGTAGCCAATTCTGTTTATTCTTTAACATTATGTAGATATAATTATAAAATGTAGATATAAAAACGTATATTTTGAAATCAAATTGAGAAGAATGTAAGTCGAAATATTGAAATTTTAAATAAATAATTTAAATATAATTATATTTCTCTATAAATTGCTCATTTGTTAAATAGCGATACAAGCAGAAAATAAAGTTTTTCAGAAAATAAACTTAAATATTTTAAATTGTTAAAATGTTGTAATATTAATTTTGAAATACAATTTTGAATGTAATAACTGATTACAGAGAAATAAAAGTACTTTTAATGTACTTTTAACGTATGTTTTTAATGAATCTTGAATGTATGCTTTAATGTACTTTTAAAATATGTTTTCATCTTTTTTCTTTGTGCCTATTTTTTTTACAGGCAACTAAAAATGACACGTCATTGTTGCAGCAAATAAATTGTATGTACTATTTTTATGATGGAATCTTGTTACATTGAAAAGGCTATAACAGAAATATTTAACGTAGAAAATAAATATCTACTACGATTAAAAATGGTTTTATTAATATTTTATTATAAAAAAATTATAATGTATATAAAACAATCTTAGTAATGTATAATCTGCCTTAAAAAAATTTTTTAATTCCTGATTTATTTTTCCAGAAATATGATCCCACACATATATTGTTTAAAAATTAATTTTAAATTATTACAAATAAAATTTGTGCTTTCGTTAAAATTTAGTATACATTCTGTGTTATAAGATCCTATGTGCATGCCGTTAATACAATGTATATATTCATAAGATTATTATTTACTACTCTTTTATGGTATACTGTAAGCTATACTTTAAGTAAAGTAGCTGCATTTTAAAATTATTCTCTATGATTTGCCGATATATATATATATATATAAAATTTTAACAAATCAAAAAAGAAAGATACGCGAAGAACCTGATAAATGAAATCCGTAACGCGTCGAATCAATGGGCTGTTTTCTCTTGAGCGAAGCATACGGGCTGGATTAGAGATGGAAATTGTTGGATATAGGCAAACACAAACAGCAGCGTACGATCCTAATAATCCGCAAACGTCGTTTATCATCCGAAAGCGGATCCGCCCTAACTCGAGACCACTCCTACTCGAGGGTGCGCGCAGTCGCTGCCTACTTTCTCTTATTCATTTTTGTGTGTAGTATGTATGTGTTCTTATATTAAACTTGTCATGCTTATATACATATATCGATACTTTTTCTATTTTTTTTTTATTGTAACTTTGCAATATGACCTGATTTATATCATATATTATATATATACACATATATGTACATACATATATATCAATAGAAAAATATTAATTGCTAAAAAAGAAATGCTAGAATTTAAAATCATATAGATATGATTTTATATTTGCTATACTTATAGATTTGCACAAATAGAGAAAATCTATATTTACAATCTTTTATTACCATATTTTAATTTATTTTTTAATTTCTTAGCATTTATTCCATATGTCTTCAATCTTTCAGCATTCAAAGACATCGTTGGATCATCGTAATTTGATTTGCGTTTTCTAGTATTCATTTGGTTAAATTGAGAGTTTCTATTCTTATTTTTCTTTTTACTTGTAAATTTGTCAATAGCTACCTTTTTGTTAATATTCTCTGTTTTAATTTTGTTATTAATTTCTACTTTATTTTTGTTATTATTCTCTATGTTATTTTCCGTTTTTATTAGAGGATCTTCTTTTGTTATATTATCCATCTTTATTTTCTTAGAAATCGGAGCGTCACTGTTGACTTTTAAATTATTCTTTCGTTTCTGCTTTTCATTTTTATTTACTATATTTTTCTCTTGTGCATTCTCATTCTTTTCCTCTTTTCTACTTTCATCGTTACTATTATGTAAATTATTCTGTACATCGTCATTTGTTACTTGAATGATTTTTTCTCTAGAAACGATATCAGTATCTGTAGATTCTGCGTTAAGATTACTGGTTTTAATTTTCTTCTTTCGTCTACGTTTCTTATTATTAGTTTCAGTTTGTTCAGTAATATGTTCGTCTTTTTCTTCTTTTTTCTCTTCTTGTTCACTAAACATATAAAAAAGTGATGTGTAATTTATAGTATGTATTAAATATATCATATGTTTTTAATGCTCTCTTGTGATACTTACGTATATAAACTCTTAAGAATTTTTTGTTTATTTGCTTCATTCATTGATTTTTCTTGATATATTCGAATCTCATTCTGTTCTACATGTTCTGGTTTATATTTAAGAGCTTGTCTCAAAGAACACCACCTGTTTAATTCCTTGTCGTCAGCCATTAAAATCTTGAAATAAGAGAATTTATATTTATTAAATTATAAATTTTATATAAGAATTATTATATTATTAGAAATAATTTCGTTAAAATTATTGATTTTAATATTGATAAAATTTATATAATTAACACTTACTTCTTCAACACTTAATCCATAGTCATTTGGCATTACTTTTCGATATTTAAATCTACAAGGTAAATCTCCAATCATGTCCTCATAATCCAACGAGTAATATTGATCGAAATAATCTGCATATGAAGGAAATTGTTTTGGATCAAATTTCGGTTTCTCCTTTGCTATAAGTTCAGCAAATTTAGAGCGTCTCTTTCGTATTCTCTGTTTTGTAGTTTCTATGAGTTTGGACTGCAAATCTCGGGATTCATCGTAATCTGCATCCATCTATAATCAGATAACTAGTAAAGTCATATATAAAATATATTAGCAAAACATACTATATAATAGATAAATCATAATAAGTACATTAAAATCTGGATCTTCACAATGAGGTTCTTCGCGTGACTCAGCTTTTATGTCAATTTTATCTGTAGCTGGATCATAACAGTCCCATTTCTCAATATCCAATTCTTCATCAATCTCTGGGAATTCTGGCCTCTGTATCTCGTCTTCACCACCAGCATAATATTCGTCATTAAAAATCTCTTTCATCCTTTTGTCATGTTCATTTGGATCAAAATCGGAATCAAAATCGACGTTATCAAAGCACATATCATCATTTCCTGTAGTGGACATAAAATAAAATATTGAATAATTTAAAATAAATTTTATACTTTTAGAAATTAAAGTTATACGTTACCTGTGATTTCTTTTAATTTTTCTATTTTGTCTTCTATTTCTTTCCTCTTCAACGCCTTCAATTGCTTTAGTTCTTCTCTCTTTTGTTGTTTCTCTTGTTCTTTTCTTTGCTTAACTTCTGCTCTCTTCTGAGATCTGCGCGTATCTTTTTTCCGTATTGAGTTTTCCATCGTTCGTGGATACCTTAGTAAAATATAAAATTCACAAATAAAAAAAACTTGAGCATATTTATAATAACAATTAACATTTCTATTTATATTAAGTAAAAACGCATACCTTTTGATAAATTCTTGGTCAGGTTCTTCATATCTAAAATTGTATTTACGTTCAAATGCTTCTTGCTCTTCAATAGTCTTTTCATCTTCTGACAAGTTCTCATCACTGTCATGAACAATTTGGTTATAC